GACCTGCTTCCCCCAGGATCTCCTTAGGATCCCCCTGCCCCTTTTTTGGGGGGGGAGACTTGTGATTCCCTTCCTCCCCCACAGCAGGAGATCCACTAAGGACCCTCCGTCTTCCATGGGGGGAGGGGAGATTTTGGTCTCTTTTTACCTCAGTTGATATCAATATCCATGTCAACATTCAGACAGACAGATGGATAAATTTAAACACGTTTTCATTAACTGCAGTTGGAAGAAAATGTCAGTTATGGAGGCAAGGACAATCTTATATTGATTAAAATAAAAGAATAAACATCTAAAAAAAGACTTTTATAATGGTGTGGAGGGTGCTTTTCCCTTTGAAGGGACCCCCCCCTTTCTCCCCCCTCTGGTTCCTGGGGAGGGGAATATGGGGCCGGAGGAGCCACCAGACCCATCACTCACCTTCGCTCTGATTGTAGCGATTCCTCAGAGTCTCCAGGTTTTCTCTGAACGTCTCCTCATCAACACGTAAAGTCAGGGTGTTTCTGTCCCAGTACTGGGGATCCTCCTTCCCCACTTTCTCCATCCAGGAGACTCGAGGCTGCATCCTCCGGCTGTGGCTGTCGTAGTGAACAAAGACCTGACCGTCCACGTACGCCACAGCGACAAACTGGGGCAGCCCCTGACTGGGGTCTGAGATGGCGGTGTAGAAATACTTCATGGAATGGGAGGAGGCGCCTGGAAGGGACCCAGAGAGGCAGAGTTAGGGGGCTTCAGTCAAGGGCCCTGATCCCACGGAGGCTCCCACCTGAGGCTCTGGGGAGGAAGGAGGAAGAGGAAGAAGAGAGCTGGGGGGGGCAGAGGAGGAAGGGGGGAAGGAAGGGGGAGATGGTGGGAGAGGAGGCAGGAGGTGGAATGAGGGAGCGACTGAGAGGGAGAGAAGCAGCTTCTGGAGGGACTGAAGGGTTGGAGGGCAGGGAAGGGCTCCCCCTGCCCCCAATTGTGCCCTCCCCTCTTCCATCAAGGCCTCCCTCAAACCCCCTTCTGGCCTGCTCAGTCTCTGCCCCAAGGAGGCTGCAGTGGCCCCACAGGGAAAAGGGCGGATTCCCCACCAGGAGCTCAAAAGTAGCAGAAAACCCCACCTGGACACCCCAAATTTCCATTCACAGGGGAAAAAAAAGTCTAAGGGCCAAAGTGGGTGGTTTATAGCGGCAGATATTAGGGGAGATTTTATAAAATGGGGGAGGGGAAGGGAGAGCCACGGGATCCTTAGGGGAAACCCAAAAGGGGGAAGGCAAAGGGAAAGGAGCAGCAATGGAGCCACGGAGACCCCAGATCTTCCTCCTGTCCCCCTTCCCATTGCTGGAAAATCCCCCCTCCCCTCCCAGAGTTCAGCCCTCTGAGCAGGAATCGGCCTTGAACCCAGGACTCAGAGGGGCTCCCCCTCATTCCACAGAGAATTTCACTGGGATCATCCCAAGATTGCTTCATTCCTGCAACCTAGTTAGGGCCCTGAAACCATCATCCACGGACGCTTTCCATTGGACCGGATTTCCTCTGAATCTCACCCTTCACTTTCCGCAGAAGCCGCTCTGAAACCTTTCCTCCTCTGGGGCTGATCCTGCACTTTGTCAGGCAGAAATGCCCCTCAGCCAACTTGGGAGAGGATTGTGATCCTGGCTACTCAACTCTGCCCATGATCAGTGAGTGCAAGTTAAAGGCCTAAATCAGAGTTCCTCAGACTCAGCCATTTGGACTTCAATTCCCAGAATTCCCCTCACCCTATAGAAACCCAGGGGGCCTCTCCACCCTGCCCCCACCCCCTGCCCCCACTGGGCCTGATTGGGAGTTCCTGCTGAAAACACCCATGTGTTTTTGGGGGGCTCAGCTGGGGTCCTCTCCCTAAACTCATCCTCTGTGGGGAGGGTCCTGTCACCTTTCAAGCCCCTCTGGTGAACCAAAGATTAAACACAGAAAATTATTTCACTTTCCATCTTGCAAACTCCTGACTGAGAATCATCCGAGTTTTTCCAGCCCTTCCTTGGAGGACAGGCTCAATTCACAAGACATGAAACTTTACTAACAAGGAGGGAAAAATCACATTAAGTCACAGTTTAGTTTCCATTGTCCAAATACAAACAGGGAAGAGACTCTCAGGCTGCCCAATGAACAGAAAAAAACAGCTTCTAAGCAGGTTAAAAGAATCAAAAGAAAATAAAATGAATAAAATGCTGCTGGGAAATCGATTCAGCTGGAAAATCCCCAAGGCCCCTTTTTGGTGTCCATTCTGAAAGCTCTTCAGGTCAGAAATTCTTCCAGGGCACCCAAGATTTTAAAGATCATTTTCAGGATCGTTCATGGGATTTATTGGGGCAGAACCAGGGTCTGCATGCAAAAGGGCAGGACCTCCAAAGCCCAGAGAAATAAATGCAGGTAGTCCTCGACTTATATGACCATAATTGAGCCCATATTTTTTTGTTGCTAAGTGAGATATTTGTTAAGTGAGTTTTTTCCTCCATTTTACAAATTTTCTTGCCACAGTTGCCTCCAGAAGCCCCAAAGAGCCCCAAAGGCAGGAAAGGCGACCCAGGCGGAGGGAGGTTGGGCGAAGGCAGCCAGGAAGTTCGGGATCTGCCCGGATCCCCTGCAAACGCCGCTTTCCGACAACCGCCACTTCGGGGGAGGGAAAGAACGGCGCTTGGGGGCGCCAGGGAAACTTGAGGGACACCTGGAGGGGCCACCCTTGTCCTGTTCCCCGGGGGGCTCTCCTGGGGTTAGGGGGGAGGCAACAGAGTCCTCCCAACGTTTTGGGACCTAACCAAACAGGGGCCACGGGGGGGGGGAGGGGAGCGGACTGGAAAGAGGACCGAACCAGGGACTCTATTTCTGGGAATAAACTTTTGGGGGGCGGAGAGAGAAAGAGTCCCGGGAAGGAAAAAGGGGGCGGATCTCCCGAAGGCCCCAAAGGGACTCACCAACGCAGCTCTCCCGGAGGGCGACCGCCAGCAGCACCAGGAGCCCGAGGGGCGCCGAGCGCAGAGCCATCCTGGCCGCGACCCTCAAGCAGCCCCGGATCTCCTGGACAGGCGCAGGCAGAGAAAGACGCGCCCCGCCTGAGCAACTGCGCAACAACCCAGAGAAAGGCCGCGATTGGCCAGGCTCAACCAGTAGAAAAAAAGTATCCCCGTGTCGTCATTGTTGCTGGGCAGACTTCCAGGCGCCACCGGCCAGAGAGGAGGGAAAGGAAAGCGAAAGTGCCATCAGGAAATCCCCTTCCAGATGCATCGTTTTTGTTTCTCCGCCAAGTGTCTCCCACCGACCCCAATCCCCTTTTAGCACTTATCCTCTGAAAAACGAGGCAGGCTTGGGATCATCAGAGGGAGAGCAGCATCAAGAGAACCGGAGAAATGGGGATCCCGGTTTATGGGGCCCAAGTGAGCCCCCCCCCCCCCCGAGTGCCGGACCCACTTCCGGTCTCCAGGAGTCCAGCAAGAGGCGGAGAGCCTGGAAAGAGCGCAGGGAGGAGCAAGAGAGAAGATGGAGGGAGGTTGAAGGGAAGGAGGAACCGTCGGGAGAGCCGGGGAGGCCCAGCCTGTGGAAGAGAGGAATGGAGGCTGGGTGTTTAGGGCCTGTTAACCCTCTTCCAGCCCTTGAGGGGCTTTCCCAGAGAAGAAGAAGGGATGGACCTCTTCTCCAAAGCCCCAGAGGGCAGGGCAGGAAGGAAGCCATGGGTGGAAGCTTCCCCAAGAGAGATCCAACCTAGGAGTCAGGAGAAATTTTCTAACAGTGAGAACAATTAATCAGTGGAATAATTTACATCCTCCGAATTGTGGCTTCTCCCTCACTGGAAGTTTCCAAAAATAGACTGGGGAACTGTGAGGCTGGGATGGTATTAGGTCTCCTCCTGCCTGGATCTGAGGGGTGGACTAGGAGACCTCTGAGGTCCTTTCTAGTCCTATGATTCTGTGTTTTACCTCAGACTCCCCAAAGGATCTTCGCTCTGGATAAAAATGCTCAAAGGCTTCTTTTGTGGCCTCTTCAAGGCGAAGATATTTCTTTCTAGGGAAAAATGCCAGACGGATCAAACACAGCATATAAATTCCCTGTTTCCTTTTCTTCTCTGGTGAAGCCATGAATCTTTAGGAAGCTTCAAACTCTTCCCTTTTCCCACCGTAAACAAAGATGGCTGCTCCCTCCTTTGCCGGTTCTTCTGGAGACTCCTTGGACTCAAATAATAAATCCCTCTTCCGATTGCAGTTGTTATTATGATTCCCGAATTCGGCTGATTTTCTTTTGTGGCCTCTTCAAGGCATGTCTTTGTAGAAGAGGAGGGGATAGCTCGATTGCTCAAGAATATCAAATATAGAATATAACAGAATATAAATCTTTCAAATTGGGAGAGTCTCAGCAAGACTGGAAACAGGATGAGCTGGGGAATGGCGCCCCCTGCTGGTTTGCGGTTTCTCTCAATTAGCAAAGGGGGGGAAGGAAAAACCATCTCAAACCAGCCAGAAGTTAGTCAAACTACATAGAACCAAGCTAGCAACACTTAAAAGTGATTAAATTATCTCCCAGACTGTCCAAGTCCCCTTTACTTTGCCGGCTTCCTTGAGAGACTGACAATCTACGGATCTGCAGCAGGAAACTCCCGACATTGATTAGGATCAAGAA